TCATTTATCATAAAAGTTCGGTAATTAATTGAAAGGGTTGGGAGAGGAAAAGGAAGAAAGAAGTTGTGAGGAGTGAATATTTTAGAGAAAAAAAAATGATAGTAAATAAATGGAGATTTTATTTGGAGAGAGGATAAAAGAAAAGAGAGGGGGAAGAAAGGAATAAAGCAGTACTTATTTAATCAGAATGAAAAGAGAAAGTTTATGATTGGATGAATAGAAGGATGAATATAAATGAGATAATGATAGATTGATAAGGACTAAAATAAATGATTGAATTGCTTTCAGGAATAAATTCCAGATAAATGTGAGGTAGTTCTTCTATTTTATCTCTTCATCTTCTCCTCTTCCTCCTCCCTTATATCGTTTCTCTCTCGCTTTCCGTACCTCCTTTTCATCCATCTGTTTTTTCTTTTTACTGTTATAGCTAAGTCGGAAAAATTGTTGATATGCTTTCCTTCTGAATACGATTAATTTGCATGGCGCCCTTTCCTTTCTCATTCCTACTATCTTTTGTGATAAGGTATGGTTTTTGGGATGAAAGAGTAGAGAGAAGTGTGGAAGAGAAGGAATGGAAGAGGAAGAGGAGGAGGATGATAGTGAGAGGAGGTGGTGGAGAGAGGTGGAGAAGGGGGAAGAGAGGAGGGAAGAAAAAAAGGAACTATTTTGAAATGAATAAACAGCAAAGCTAGTGAAATATATTTTGTAGATTGGATGATATGAGGGAGTTTTTTTTTATTTTACCATTTATTTTCCTTCTATTTTATATCCTTTTTTACTATCTTGATTTTTTTTTTTTGAACGTAATTTTAAAAATGATGAATGAAATGAAACAAATGGAATGAATGAGAAGGATACTATAAAGATGATAAAATAATATTTATAATTAGAAAATAAGGGTGGAGTAAATTTTATTTATTCTTGTTATTGCAGGAGAAAAAAGCAGTGAAATTTGAGGAATAACTCAAATTATCAATAGGCAAAAAAAAAATAATGACAAAGGATTTCTGAAGTTATTTGAAATGTTTTGAGTAGTTGTAAAAGCGCAGCCATTGGTTATAATAATAATATATATCTAAAATTGGATTGAATTGTATCTCTTTGTTTGTTTTGTTTGAAATTAGTCTCGGAATGATACGATATGATTAGGATAGGAGGAGAGATAAGATAATGCGATAATTGTAAAATGCTTTACATTTTTTTATTTCTGATTACTTTACAAGTAATCAAAAATAAATTACTTTGATTACTTTACATCTTTGTGATAATTGATTTTTCTTTTTCCTAATCACTAGTTACTCTTTCTTCTAATCAGTATGTTATCATTCGGATAATTTTAGATGACCCAAATTTATTTCGTTATTTATTTCGTTTTTGTTTTTTTCCCTTCAATTGATTTCTTGATATTTAAAAAAAAGAAAGTCTGATTCTTTTTTTTTTTGACTATTCAAAATTTATGGATAATTTTCTCTGTCTCCTTTTTTCTCTCTCCCCCTCACTTAGATGTGCCGTTTATTTGCCATTTGTTCCTTTTTTTTTTTTGTTTTCACTAATATATTTGTGTTTTTTCCCTTCTCTTATGTTAACTAATTGCATTATCTTACATTAATTGTTTTTTTATGTATTAAAAAAGTGCATAAATTTTGTGTGCAAGTTTTTGATTTCCATTCATTATATATATATATATATATATTATACTTTACTTAATTTATGGTTATTTTAATTTACAGCTTGGTGTCATTTTAATTTGCTTGCACTTGCAATAAGGGATAATTTTGAAAAGAGACAAAGTATATCAATAAGAGGAGAATGAAGAGTAAATACCAAATGATTGAGTTAAAGTCAAAGTTGTAAAATTGTTAATTAAGCCATGCAAGAGAAAGGTTTTTTGTCATTATTTGCTATTTGGTTGATTATAAATTTGTCAAAAAGGTATCCATGAGTTTTGGTGATTTTGTCAACTCGATTAAATTGCCATCAACTTTTGAGTTATCGAGAATTTTCGTAACTTCAGAGGAATGTGGTAATTTGATATCAGACCGGTGGTGATAGGTAGTAATATTTCGTTCAAGAAAGAATGATGAGACTGTCGCATAAAAGGCATTCTAACCTCGTCTTCGCCTCGTCTTCATTATCCCCTCTCCTTGCCACCCAAATTGTCATCCTTCTTCCGTGAAACCTCGTCCCATCTTAATATAGTCTATTTCGTTTCTCTTACCTTAAAATATCCCCTCCGGCTGTTCAAAAACGCTCCTTTTCTCAGTTGCTGTAATACTGTTGGAGTGAGAGGAGGCCGGGAATCTCGATTTATGTCGACCTCAATTACTTTTGTTTTCTTTGCTACCCGTTTACCTCTTTCATTTAATTTCTCCCTATTTTTAAAATCTAATTTCTTAGTTATACAGAATATATATATATATATATACATTTTATGTCATATTATAATGAAATGAAATATTACTGAAATATTGAACAAGTTCAGCTGGCATCAGCAACTATACTGAAATATAGTATGGTATGATTCACTAATGGTACTAATATTCTTGCCGTAATAAGTCTGTGGTAAAATATGAATCATTAATTTCCACCGCATTACAATATTATAATTTGGTTGTCGCTTTTAATTCATTTTAGGTTAATAAAACGAGACTGCAATTAAACGAAGTTTACAGCTTTCTAATATGTTTAATATTGTTTTAAATCAATTTTACATATTCTTATATATATATATATATATATATATATGTAAAGAGTAACTGATTGGAGAACACAACTTGGAATGATAATACAGTTTTTTGGGGGCTAAATCCTATGGTTTAATTTTTAGTCATTGAAAAAAAGAAACAGAAATGAGAGTGATAAATACACCTGCTTATTAAAAGCTAACAAGGTAAGGTTTGATCTGAAATAATTAAAAATGGATTAAAATCTATTTTAGAGTTTGTCAGTTTAAAAATTAATTGCTTATCGTTTTAGAACAAGGCTGAATCGATTTTTTAAATGGATTCCGTAAATTTTGAAAAATTTACACAATTCTAAAATTTGGCATTTCGTAATGCATCGTCAGACCATAATGGAATTTTGTTTTGCGGTTGGCAGGAGAGGAGGAAAAGGAGGAAGGGGTAGAGGGAATGGGTGAGAAAGGGAGGACAGAGGGAAGCGATGAGGGGAGTAGGGCGGAGGAAGTAGCAGGGTGACAGGAAACTAGGAAGTGGTAGAGGAGGAGATTGTGGAGGGGATTTTACGGATACCGAAAGAGTTAGAACGAGAGGATAGAGCATAGCAAGAGGGATTGAGGACAACCCATCGGGATTTTCACCCGACCCCGTTAAACCATCAACCAACAAATATTACAACGACGGAGAGATTTTGATTGAGCTGGAGGCGATATTTTTAGACGAATGAAGGTGTAGCAAGCAGTACCTGATGAAAAATTTTTGTTAAATAGTCTCGATGCTCATCACTTTCCTGTTGGTCAACAAATCAGTTGACAAAATTTCATTTCTTCAATACCGTCCTTCTCTTTCTCCTCGTCTTCCTCCTTTGACACTTTTTGCTGATAACCTCTGAACAATATTTAATGATGTGATACAAAATGGTGATGATAATTTGATGATTCTCGTACCTATATGAATTGTCAAACAATCATTTAGTCGGTCATATTGCCCTCTATACTCTTCCCTTTCCTCCATTGCAATCATCTCAATCTTTACAATCATATTTTTCGAGTTTGAACTGGAGTTAGTCAGGGATAGTGGGAAAAAAAGGAGGGAAAGTAAGAGCGGGTAGTAGGAGGATAAGAAGAAATGAAAAATCAAATTACTGATTACTTTTTTTGTTTTAAAGGAACATCTTTCCTTTCTTTTTTCATTTTATTTTCCTTCCTCAAAATTGTCAATTTCTCTCCTTCAATCCGGAAATATTTCAATTAAGTGCAGAATATAAAGAAGCTAAAAGATAGAAGAGAAGAATGAAAGGAATTTCAATGTTTTTGAAACAAATCATCTACCACATTAACTAATGACAACAATCCTTCATCTTTTATGGTAGTGTCCCTCCTTCCTCTCTCTAATTCCTCTTCCTCCTGCACTACATCGCCCTCATTTCACAATTCCGTTGAACTTTACACAGTTCCTTTCCAGACAACAATCATTTATTATTAATTTACCTTGCGAATCGAGAAATCGCTTCTGTAAACACTAAAATAGCACAACCCTTAAAAGTTATTTGAAATTCATCAATTAAATGTTAAAATTAAAAAGTTACGGTTGAAATGACAATATAATAAATCTTATCAAAAACAAAACCAGCCTTTATCTTTCACTGATTACCAGAATTAAATTACAAGACATTTCAGGCTTACAGATATGAAGAACAGATGAAGAAAATAATGGAAACATTCTGATTACTTTATAAATCTTTTATTCTTTCTATTTTTTTCTCTTCCTTTCCCTCTCTCTTTTCCTTTCTTTTTCTTCTCATCTTTTGTTAAAAACTTATGAATACTAAAGATAAAAGAGGAAGAAAACAAGAAAAAAAGATCTGACAAAATTAAAAGTGAGTTATTAATTTACAGTGAATACGGATATATATATATATATAAAGTAGTATTTTGTGATATATATCAGAAAGTAGATTTAATCATTTTAAACAAACAATTCTACCAAATGTTACAATATATATATTATAATACCAACAATAATAATAATATCATAATAATAAATGAATGAATAAATAAACATGGAAATAATAATACAGTTGCAAAATACAATGATATGTTTTCCTAATATTGGTAATTTTTCAAATGATTTCTTCAAAAACGCCTTCAAAAATGATTAATTGTTAAAAGGTTATAAAGAGGTTATTGTAATTTGATAATAAACAGACATTTCAAGTAGAATTTTGGAAGAAATTAAATTCAAAAATCCGAATATTTTACTCTATCACTGGGAAGCATTTTGCACAGCGACCTCGATTAGAGTTAGCGTAGCTAATCCAGAATGATTCTCGATTTTCTCGTTGTGTTGACTCTGAGGTGGTTGTTTGTTGGCTATTTCGAAAAGATAATTGATTTATTTCTGAATTAATCAATTAAATTACAAATGGTATAATAATTTTAATAGTTTTCTTCATTAAACGAAGTTTGGAATATATTTTTAGTTCATGTTGATCGGATTAAAATGCAAGTATTTTGATGCATCTGAAGCGGATTTTCTCTCTGCGCTATTCAGTCTATTAGCCGCTATTTCGTTAAGTCATTTCTGTTATATTTCGTAACAGATTTTCTTTTCTTTTTCTTGACTTTTTGTAGCAAAAATGTTTCAAAATGATGCAAAGAATTTGTCGCTGTCCGTAGTGACAACACTGATCAATATTAGTAGGTATTTAATACGATAAATATAGTATAATTCACCTTGACTAATTCTATATGGATTTTAGACCAATCTCAGGGTTTATTATATTTCATTAGTTGAGATTATTATGGTAAAAGGATGAAACTTGTTTCACTAGTTTTTTTCATGGATTATTTAGTACCAGAAATTTGTGATTTTTTAGATAATTGGTATTTTAGGCGATCTGTGCTTTAGTCAGTGATGAGTGGATTCGCATCAATGATAACAGCAAAGAAAGCCGAAATGTAGCTCAGCTGGATGACAACAGTTCAGTGCGCAGCGATAACCATTTCAGTTACGCTTCATCGTTTGCACAAGCGGGTCGCTGCAAAGGGTTTTTTTTTAATGTTTTTGAGATCTTGGGAGTGTTATGTTCTGTGATATCAGAACTTTTAGAATAGATCGTCTCGTATATTGATGACGAATTCATTCTTGTGGATTGATGATTTATTTCTCTTGCACTAACTTATTTAAAGACGTTTCTGAAGCTCAAGCATGTATAAACAATGAGAACTGGAAACTATTTTGAGCCAGAAAAAGAGAATATATCAGAGCAATATCCTGGTGTACTTATGTAAACTTAAGCTGAAAAGAACTGGTAAGTAGGAGATTGACTTTTTTCGGCACGCGTAGTAAATTTAGCCAATCAAATTGGTTCAAACTTTCTGGATTGTAAATTGGTGGAAACATGACAGAATAAGCCTAAAAAAGGATTAAAAAAGTAGTGAAATCTTGCTGCAATTAATGATGTGGATGTTATGAAAATGCTGGAAAAATCTGCAATACTTTTTAGTTTTTGGAATCTGAACTAAGAATATTTGCACGGGAATCCAGGTTTATTACCACATTTCGTAACTATTTTGAGTTTATAGGGTTGACATTCGACATTTCTGGCGTACCGCTAAATTCGGATTCTTTGTAAATATGAAAGGTGTTTATCATACAACATATCGCTTTGATGGAAATGGTTATTCAGTTTTCTACCTAGTTTTTATCTAACTTTTAAAATTTATTCTAATCGTAGCACTTCAATAACTGTAATCGGAAAAAAACTGATAGAAAAAGTTGTTAAATGTGTGGAATTACTCGCATACATTTTCGTAAATTTGTAACTTGTCATATATAAGTATAGCGAGTAGCACAATTTTTGATTAAGTTTGCATCGTAATGCATTCTACTCATTTTTTTTTTTATCTTGGGATCTCAAATTGTAATTTTCTAGTCTTTTCCTCATAATCCTGTTTTGCAGTGCGTATGGATTGTCTCACACCTTTGATCGCCAATTTATTCTATGTCTTGATCGCTTTCTGTTTTGTTATTGTTGTAAAATCCACTTTAGCCTGCATTTTGAGCACCATTTCAACATCATCAGGATTTCTTAATTGGCTTAAGCGAAATACAATCCTCGAAATGAGTAGCAGTAAGCTGTTCCTATATTTCTCGAAAGTCTTCGAGTGCATACTTCAAAAACTTTAGAAGAAACATTGAAATTTCAGTGATGCTGGCAGTGTTAGCGTGTATAATAACTTTTCTTATGGGAGCAATGATTTATTCGATGAATCCATTTTCGGGTGTAACAGTAGGAGCAGGATCAGTGTCCATTGCAGTAAGTGGCGTTAGCTCATTTTTTGCTGCAGCAGTAAGCTTGCGAAGGTGATTTTTTTTTTTCATATGATAGTCTCGGTATATATAATTTGAAACTCAACAGGAAAAATGAGTTTTTGTAAAGTTCAGAAAAATCCGTAATTTACATTTGCCAAAATGTTTCTGCTTAATAAAGTTCTTGAAAAATATTATGATCCCGATTTAAAATATATTCAAATGTTCATTGCAGAAAATATAGTGTCGTTCGACAAAGACGCCTTGAAAATCAACGTCTGTTATGCGCTCGTTCATTTCGTGCATGGAGGGAAGTTGGGCGCCATTCTGAGGACATGCGACCAATCATCGATTTTGAACGTTATCTGGATTCGTGGGCGACACCAGTTGATTCTCCATAGGACAGATCATTTTCAAACTTCTTGGTGTATGTGTTTTGATACTTGAGAAATATGGTAATTAAAAACAAGTATATATAACCAACATTTTGAATACTGGATGGTATGGTCAAACATCAATCTAAAGGGAGTAATCTTGAGAAGCTTTTTGGTACTAGTTCTTTCTGACATATCGTTATTCTGTTATCCTAAGGTCTGTATAATCTTCATAATTGTTGTTTATTAGCTTTGAGCTTTTTCTTAATGTTTTAGTTATTTCAGGATACTAAATCTTTTTGTTTGCATTTGCATTAACGTTCTTGTATGGCAATGCGTTTTTTCGAGATGACCAAATGAATTAAGCTTCAACTAATCGTTTCGTAACATCTCGATGCAGTTTTTTGACATTTGTTGGTTCATTTGTTTGCTGTCCTAAATTTGATTAATATTAGCAGTGCTGTGCTGTTGCAGAGTGGATTATATGGTAGTAATTGCCAAAATCCTGTGCATTATATAAAAAAAGGGTTGCTCTTTTCTTTCCCACTCCTAGGGGATATATTAATTTCAGAATTTTTCTTCTATCTTTCTGCTTGGTTTCAATTCTAAAAGGAATTTTCTCCTTGACTTATGGAGATTTTTTTTTTTTTTTGCAAGTATTGGTATGTTTTTGTTATCGTGATTTGTTACCCTTTTCACTGTAAATTTTCATTTGAGCTAGTAGTGAGTAGTATACAGATGTCACTATTGTGTTTTCTTTTTCAACATAGTCACGTGACTTATCGGGTAGTTTTCCATTTGTATCTAATGTATTCTGAATTTTTGCTTTCTTTTCAAACTTGATTTTCAGTTTTGACTCAAGTTTTCGCTTCTGCGCCACTTCGTTCTAATCACTATTAAGTCAACTTTTTTTTGCGATCTTTTATAATCTCTTAATCGTGACTCAGCTTTAATGATGTTATTGTAACGGCCGTTAATACTTCATTTTTTTTAAAAAATAAATAAAGGCAGTTTCATCGAAGTTTATCAGAAAAATCACATTGCATTTTTCATTTTTTCTTTTTCGCCATAGTTCTGTGTTGAAATCATTGTGTTAATGCTTGTACAATCTAGGAAAAAAAAAAAACGAAATCGATTATCTCGATAAGTTTCCAGTAGGAATAATTACTTTTCTTCTCTTCATAGCCGCTTTAATCATTTTATTTGTAAAAGTTATTGTAGAATTCATGAATGGCATTTCATCTCTGAAATTCATTTCAAAAATGTTATACAGTTCTACCGGTAGACGTTGCACCCTTGTAAATGATTGATCATTCGGCAATAAATAAACTATGCAATGGAAAATCTCAGTGATTATCCTTTCATAATTTAAATTTTTTTAAATTTTCCTAAATTTTTTTAGGAATTACATAGGTTATGTTATTTTGTGTTTTATGATATTATGGTTGCCTTACGTAAATATCTGAGGGAAATGAGAACTACGATGCTAGCATTTAAGCATTTTTCTCATTTAACTAATTAATGAACTGATGAGCATTATCATACTGCAGCAGCTTTTCATTTGCCAATATACAAATATTCGAGCAAAGTTGAAACAGACGATAGCAAAAGTGCGTTTGCACAAGATACAGGTATGTTCATTGGTTGCATTGCTATTTTGAGAATTAATGCGTACCAATTTAAACAGATAAATGACAAATCCAAGGCATATTATAACAGATCTGTTATTTTCTATCCTTTATCATTATCTTTCTAAAATTGATCTCATTAAAAAAACTCTCAAACAAAAAAAAACCAAATCCTCAAAACGAATATTTCGCAACCAAACAAGCATATGTAGTATGAGGTCTGTGAAATCTGTAAAAAAAAAAAATGGATGTGTGTAACTAACAGTCCCTGAGTACACAAATTTCATTGGTACTGCAGAAAATAAAACTGAAAAATGGAGAAAACCGGATAACTTAAAGAGTTAAAGAAGCGCAGAGATTTAGGGAAAGGGGTGAAGATATGACGAAAAGAAATTTAAAAAATCCCTTTTCCCTTTCTTTTCTTTTTCCATTCCTAGGGAAAAATGCTTTCTTTTATCAATTATGGAAATAAAATTTTTCTTTTAAAAAACTAAACTTCCAATCAATTTTACAAAATATCATAACGAAAATATTATATCACGAAATACAATATTTAGTAGAAATGAAAATATTTTCCGTTTCATTTCCTTTTCCTTTTTGTTTTGTTTTTTGTTTTTTTTAAATATAACCTACTGATATATAACAATGACTTTTTTTCATATGCAAGTAATAACTATTGAATTTTACCTTTCATGTAATAAAGGAAACATTTTTTGACAATAGCACATACGTAAACAAAATGGTTCCGGTAGATACAAAGAATTAGCATATTTCTTTAGTATTTTCTTTTTTTTTTTCAACATAATTTGGAAAAAAAAAGAAAGTGATGAGAAAAAAGCAAGGATACAAAGGAAATAAAAAAAATTGTAATCAAAATATTCACATTAAAAATTAAATTTTGTAGACAAAAAAAATATAGTGACAAAATTTTCTCTACATTGTTAAAATGAATTTTTGCGTATTGTTTTTCTTTTCATGGATATAGTATCAATAATTAATTATATTATATATTTTCATCAATCTAAAAGTGAAATTTATATACAATTTTAGATTGCTGAAAAAAAAGAAGAGGGAAAAAAGGGAAAAGGGAAGGAAACTTTTAACCTTTGCATCCATAATCGTACACTTTTTTATCAGAAATGGTGATACAAAAAATCATCATAATTAATAGTAATGGTAACAATAATACTACTAATAATAGTAATAATAATATTAATGAGATAGTCTTAACAGTGGCACCATAATATTTCATTCAACTAATAATTTGGAAAAACAAAAAAAAAAAACAAAAAACAAAAAAAGGTAAAAAGAAGAGAGGGAAAAAAACTGTACAAATAAAAGTATGTATAAAATGAAGGTAAAAAAGAGGTAAATAATTTCGTTTCTTTTTTTTTCATCTCCGATGAATAGTAATGGCATTCACTCATTAATGAATTTAAGAAAAAAAATAACATAAGAGCTATTTAAATGAATGTTTATTTTCTCATATATTAGAAAACTTTTTTTTTTAAAAAAAAATAAAAAACTTTCAATTCATAAATTGATAATAGCAAAACTAACGAGATTTGCTCTGGAAATGAAACAACAAGCAATTTAAAAGACTGATAAATTTTTTTTTTTTGTAAAAAAAAAACGAAGAAAGGAAAAATTCCATAAAATTTGTGAAAATCAAAATAACTTTCTTCTAGATTTCTGTTGAGCATGCTGATTCATAGCGAATTATAATAATCATAATAATAATAATGATAACACTACTGCTATTAAGAATAATAATAAATATTACAAATGCAATTGATTCAAATTCTAAAAATCACTATTTAAAATAAAAAAGGAAGTAAAAATTTTTGTTTTTTTCCCTAGAACTCAATTTCCATGTAGTTTGCAATTATTTTGAAGTTAGAAAAAAACTGATAATGGATGAAATAATAGAATTTCTATTTATATGACAACATTCATTAGTTTTGCAGCTATCAATTCGATATAAAAAGAAAGAAAGAAAATAGATTAAATTGAAATTAATTAATAAGCAAATTAGGAAATTTGTGACTTACGTGAAAAATAAGAGCAAATTATTTACTTTTTTATGTATATTTTCTGTTTTTTTGTTGTTTTTTTTATTTTTGTTTTAGCCTGTTTTAATAGAAGGATGAAAAGATAATTAAACAGAGGACATTCGAGAATCACAATAAGCTGCTTGCACGGCTGACTCATAATCTAGCGGACACTGAAATTCATATAAAAATGTCAAAGTTATTGGAAAATTTTCAAGCTAATATATGAATGTCCATGAAAGAAGAGAGAAAGATATGTAAATAAATGCTAACTTCGATGATAAAAACCAATTTTGAAAAAAAAAAAATACATTTTTCTTTCTCTTTTCTAATTTAAAACTTTAATTTCATGAAATGGATGAGAAATTAAATTTTAACATTTATATATTGCAATTATTAGTTTAGAGAGATACAGGATTAAATTTCTTTTTTGAATTAGAAAAAAAATTGTACGGAAGAGGTAAAGAGGATGAATAAAGGGACAGTATCAAACAACCGCCTCCTTGCTTAGATATAGACGATAAGCAGAGTCGGTTCTACTCTCATTTCGTATTACCTCGACTGGTTGACCGGATGCTTGATACAATGACCGAGGACCATCTTCTCGGTACGTTTCACGCATACTGAAAAAAAAAAAGAACAAAGATAAAAAGATGGAGTGTGAATTTGATAAAGAGAAAAACGAAAAATTGAATTGTTACATTTGTTAATGGGAAAAAAATTTTCTATAAAATTAACTAAAATGTTTGAAAAAATTTTTCTTTTTGGTATTAAGCTTTCATCTGACCTTCTTTATATTTCCGAAAATTTTTTGAAATGATGGGCAAATGTTTCAATATAAAAAATTACTTCGTTTTTTTCTTTTTGTCATCATAAGAATTTACTGTCGGTTTCACTTCTAAAAATTGAGATGTACAACAGTTTAAAAATTTTAATCTTTCATTTATTGAAAAAAAGTTAATTAAAACTAAACCAAAGATTAGTTTAATTAAAATTTCAACGATTCTTGTAAGTTTCTTAGTCTAAATTGTTCAGTGAATTCGAATAATTATGCGGAACAAGAGAATCTTTAATAAAATAAAATAAATTGTGGAAAAAAAAAAGTGCAGGATTGAAAATTCCAACTGAATCAAATCATTAATTAATTAATAAAAAATTATTTAACTTACTTCCAAAACAGAATAAACTCTTTTTGATACAAAACATTATTAATAATGATAGTGATACACCAAAAATTATCATCATTAATAGTGCCATAAACCAGCTTGGGAATGAACTCATTGTTGTTGACTGACCACCAAATAAAGCACCAAGTGGTACAGTAATGCTAGAAAAATAAAGTAATTAA